TAGTTGTTAATAATGTACAAGGTAGTGTACATAGTCAGCCCTTTGAGAATTCGCTATATAAATGTAACTACATTGCATTACATATTATTATATATTATATTTATATTATATATATATGTATGAATGTACATACGTATGTATGTATATATATGTACAAGCGTGGAATTTTACCGTGGCCATTGCCGACGGTGCCCTCCCAGTTGGCCTTGGTGCCCCTGTAAATGAAGCACGATGACAGCCACTACTTACCTGCCCTTTTGCAGACTTGGCCTCGGTGCCCTCACGACACTTAATATAAATCGTTTGACACGTAAAATAAGTTTAAATATGGATGTTCAAATCTTGAAAGAAAACATGAAAGCCAAAAAATATAGGTCATCTAGGCTAGCCTAGGCCTAGATAAGGTTGCAGTGACAGAACATGGGAGAATTACCATGTGTGTTGATACAAACTGTTTTTGCGGTTACCGTTGTGTGCGCATGCATCTGACTTGAGCGGTAATTGCAGTATATATTACCAATATACCTCTATGGTATTATAATATTACGTACGTTTTCAATGCTTGGAATTGAAGTTGTAAACATGTGCTTGCTGTGCAGCTAGCTTTGGGCGGTCTGATGTCATCGAAATTAACCTAATTGGTTGACAGTCTGCTAATCTAGTTGATGATGGCCAGTTTAAAGGTGTGACCTCCTCTCCGATGACGACGCACTGAGCAACAACTTCTTGAACTTTGACTGTTTTGTTTACGATCGTCGATCGCCTGCAGAAAACTAAAAGTATATTCCAACATTGAATCGATAATTAATAGATAATACTCCAAACAATGTCATTTTACCATTGACAACGATGGCTTGGCTAGGCGTAGCTTGGCTTGGCCTAGCTTGGTTTGGCCTTTACCTAGCCTGGCTACGAATCAAGGCACTGATCGCGAGATTAGTACTGAGGCTATATCTGATATATTTTTTTTTTGTTTTATTTATTCATTCTGAAGTAATTATAAGTAAAAACATTCAAGTAC